GTTAAAGCTGAGACTCTGTGACTTTAAGTTCTTCCTCCTGGTTCCTGCAGACCCGGACAGAGAGGAGCACGCAGACCGGTCCAGACGGATGGGACCTCTGCCCGACCTGCTGCCCCAGAACCAGAACCAGAACCAGAACCAGAACCCTTCTTTGGCCAACAGAGGAGAGGCGGGCCAGGACCTGGAGATCAGGAGGGTGGCTCAGCAGCTGAGGACCATCGGAGACGAATACAACGCCACAGTCCTGCGCCGAGCGGTAAGAGGGGCGGGGCTTAACTCTGCTGTGTGGTGGGTGATGATGCGTCCTGAGGGGAGGAGCCATGAATCTGAGGACCACCTCCTGGTCTCAGCAGGTCCACGGTGAAGGACCTGCTGAGACCAGCGTCTCTGAAGGTTGATGAGGAGGTGGGGATCCTCACCTCCTCTCTCCTGTTTCAGGAGGTCCTGATTAAAGGACTCTGATCAGCTGATCAGCTGATCAGCTGATCAGAGTCCTGGAGAGCCGCAGACCTTCACCTGAGATGATCTGAGGATTAGAGCCTCTCTTCTTCTCCTCCTGTCCTTAAAAAAACTGCACAGTCACGGCCGACCATCAGTGAGAGTGTGTGTGTGTGTGTGTGTGTGTGTGTGTGTGTGTGTGTGTGTGTGTGTGTGTGTGTGTGTGTGTGTGTGTCGTTCCTCTTTTCTCATGTTGATATTTTCCCTCTTCGTCTCGATCAGATTTCTCTCTCCTCCTCTGACATGTTTATTTTATTGGTTTTAAACTTTATTTTTCTTCCGTCAGTTTTTTCTTTGATAAAGTTTTAACTGTCAGTCCTTCAGTATTGATTAGAGTCATGATCAATAACTCCATCAGATCAGTATCTTCTCTTAGACAAACTGAAGAACTAAAGAGTTAAAAAAATCTGAACCAGTTTTTCATCAGAGCAGACGGACCAGGACTGAGGTCTCTCTGTTGTCTTTATTTGGCCCCGCCCTCCTCTGTACACTACATCGCGTGAGGAGTTGGCAGCAGCTCCCTACCCCCCCCCACCACCACCGTGCACACACACACACACACACACACACACACACACACACACACACACACACACCTCCCCTTTCCTCTCTCTCCCTCCCGCCTTATGCACACAAACAAAGATGACGTCACCCACTCTCGGCTCTGACTCAGACATGGATTGCGCTCGCACATGCTTACACACACACACACACACACACACACACACACACACACACACACACACACACACACACACACACACTCTCTGTTTATGAGGGCGTATCAGCCTGTTTTCAGACATGTGTAGCAGGTTTCAGAGGTTACTGCCCTCATTGAACTGTCTCCTGTCTGTCAGCTTTGTGTGTGTGTGTGTCTGAGTGTGTGTCTGAGTGTGTGTGTCTGTGTGTGTGTATGTGCATGTATGTGGGTGCATGTACGGGAAACAGACTCAGACTTTATTGTGGAGGTAAACAGAGGAAATCATGTGTGTGTTGTTTACCAGCCGACAGGACAAGAAGTACAGCTGAACCAGAGAGGAGACAGGGAAGGAGAGAAGGAGACAGGGAAGGAGAGAAGGAGACAGGGAAGGAGAGAAGGAGACAGGGAAGGAGAGAAGGAGATAGGGAAGGAGAGAAGGAGACAGGGAAGGAGAGAAGGAGATAGGGAAGGAGAGAAAGGGGTAGTGAAGGAGATAAGGAAGGAGAAAAGGAGATAAGGAAGGAGATAAGGAGACAGTGAAGGAGATAAGGAAGGAGAGAAGGAAATAAGGAAGGAGAGAAGGAGACAGGGAAGGAGAGAAGGAGATAGGGAAGGAGAGAAAAGGGTAGTGAAGGAGATAAGGAAGGAGAAAAGCAGATAAGGAAGGAGATAAGGAGACAGTGAAGGAGATAAGGAAGGAGAGAAGGAGACAGTGAAGGAGATAAGGAAGGAGAGAAGGAGATAAGGAGGGAGGGAAGGAGAGAAGGAGATGAGCAGAGGCTTGAGTTCAGGCAGTTCATGGTAGCTGTACACACACACACACACACACACACACATACACACGTGCACACACACACACGTGCGCACTTGTTTATCCTGTATGTGGAGCCCTGGCAGACATGTCATTTGAGCGTCTCGGTTCTGGTTCTGGTTCTGGTTCAGTTTCTTTTCATCAGTCCAACTGGATCTGGTCAGAAATGAGATCCTGAGTCTGAATCTGAGACAAAGTTTAGATGATGATGATGATGATGATGATGATGATGGTCCAGCAGTGTTCACATCTTCATCTTCATCATCAGCCGCTCCAGCGGCTCAAACAGCGCTCAGCTCTGACTCTGCAGTCATGTGATCTTTCTGGGTCACTCCCTCAGTACATTTGCATTTTTTAGCATCTTGGTTTCTCCTAAAAAGGTCACGCAGAGAAGAATCAAACACCCTGCTCTTTGATTGGCTGTCCTCGTGGCCCCGCCCCTCTGCTCTGTGGTTTTGTTATTCTGAAACTTCAGCTGTTATATTTCAGCTTCTTCACCATCAAAGTTTTGAGGATAGAAAATTAAACATGAGGTCAAATCCAGGAATTATGTGAGGGGACACATATGATTTATACATATTTATGTTTATATGTTATTTATATTCATATTAATATTAAATATTTATATGTTTTATATTTATATTAATATTAATATTATATATTTATATGTTTTATATTTATATATAAATTAATATTATATATTTATATGTTTTATATTCATATTAATATTATATATTTATATATTTTATATTTATATTCATATTAATATTATATATTTATATATTTTATATTTATATTATATTAATATTATATATTTATATGTTTTATATTTATATATAAATTAATATATATTCATATGTTACATACGTATATTCATATTAAATATTTATATATTTTATATTTATATATAAATTAATATTATGTATTTATATGTTTTATATTTATATTCATATTAATATTATATATTTATATGTTTTATATTTATATATAAATTAATATATATTCATATGTTACATACGTATATTCATATTAATATTAAATATTTATATATTTTATATTTATATATAAATTAATATTATATTATTATATTCATATTAAAATTAAATATTTATATGTTTTATATTTATATATAAATTAATATTATATATTTATATATTATTATATTCATATTAATATTATATATTTATATGTTTTATATTTATATTCATATTAATATTATATATTTATATGTTTTATATTTATATTCATATTAATATTATATATTTATATGTTTTATACGTATATATAAATCAATATTATATATTCATATGTTACATACGTATATTCATATTTATATTATATATTTATATGTTTTATATTTATATATAAATTAATATGATCTCCACCTGTCTGTCCCTGTTTTGCAGCACGCTGCCCCCCACTGGCAGGACTGGAGAGACGCCTGCAGGGAACTCCTGAACCTGGTCTCTCAGACTCTCAGTACTCTCTACAGACTCACGTAAAGGAGTCGGGGTCTCAGGTCGGTTTCAGGACCCCGTTTCTGCGTCCCGAGGTCAAAGGTCTACTTGAAGACAGAACTTTGGAGATGAGATCAGCAGCTGGAGGTCAGAAGGTCACCTGCTGGTCTGCTGGTTCAGGGATCTACCTGTGGACACTGAACTCTTCTGGTCCATCACTCAGTCTGCGGGTCCAGACTGACCCTGAAGGACCGTCTGTATATTCTGTAAAATCTGTCTCTGCTGACGTCTCGGGGCGGGGCTACCCGAGCACGAGGGTGTGGAAGTGTGTGTGGATGAAGCTCTTGGAGGTCTTTGGAGGTCTCGGTTAAGTCCTGGCTCCTCCTCTGACAGTAGCAGACCTGGTCTGACCCTGGTCTGATGTGGACCTGTTGGAAACTGTGAACCTGGACGCTGTCGTGACGGCGGGAAACGTCAGAGAACCTCCCTCCATCTCAGACTCATCAACTCATCCAATCACGTGCCTTTCTGCTCAGACATGGGGACAATCAGCCGCGCACACACACACACACATGCACACACACACACACACAAACACACACACACACACACACACACACACGCACACGCACACACACGCTCCTTAAGTGCTTTGCTTGCTGTCACTAAACTCCAGAGTCATTCACCTCCATTCAAACGCTCCAGCGTCAACAAGCTTCAGGTCAATTTAGGACAGAACCGGACAGAACCGGACAGAACCCCTCAGAACCCCTCAGAACCCCTCAGAACCCTCAGAACCCCTCAGAACCCCTCAGAACCCCTCAGAACCCCTCCCTCAGAACTGTGGTGGGCCGCCTGTCCTCAGTGTTGATATTTTAGTTGGTCTGTAAATAATTTTTCTGGAGATGAATTTATCGGACGAGTCAGAAATGTAAAGTTCTTCTTATCAGACAGAGAGGTCCGTCTTTGTTGGTTTGTTTGGAGGTCCGAGAGGTCGGAGAGGTCGGAGCAGAGTTTGATTTGAATCCAGTGGATTTGAGGAGGTTTTTTATTTTCCCAGAGCTGAAGAAAATTCTATAATTTCGATCCTTTCGATCGTCTGAAATTATTTGCTGATATTTAAAAAAAAAAAAAAAAAACGATGATTTTTAGTTTTGGAGAAAATTTTGTCATTTCTGATCAGAAGAGTTTAATTTATTCGTAGCCGTTCTGTAGCTTTATTTTTATTTTATTATTTATTGTTTTTTTCCTGATAGAAACTTTGAACGACGTCAAACTCGAGTTTCTTCTCCTCAAACAGGTCGAATAAAACGGAGCTGAGTTTGTTCACGTCACTCTTCAGATATTCACTGATCGATCGATCGATCAATCGATCAATCAGTCTGCTGACTCTGCAGTTTGAAGGGCTGGTGACGGGTCCTCTCAGGAACATGACCTTATTTGGTGTGTCTCAGAGAGGAAACAGGAAGTGAAGAACTGAAGGTCATGTTTTTGTGTTTTTGTGTTTTTGTGTTTTTGTTTGAAAAAAACCAAAATTTTCACCTTAAAGCACAAAAAGTCCAAATCTGACAGCAATACTTCTGATCCCAGAGCGGGTTCACATGGACCCTGGTTCTGGGTCTGGCCCAGTTTGAGGTTCTCGATGGACTGGACTTTGAACTGGTCCTCATGTTCTGGATCAGGATTTGATGTGAGCCCAGACCCAACAGGGACAGAACCAGATTTAAGTTTTTATGGTTCAGGTTTAAAGTCGGAGAGCGTGAGCGTCGCCGAAGTTTCACCTGTAAGGACTCAGATTATTCCACCTGTAGGCGATCTGAGCATGTGCAGAAGCTCACTTCCTGTTAGTTTCTCTTGTGAGAGTGCACTTCCTGTTTCAGGCCTCTGTGTGTGTTTACTGTTTCTAAGACCAACTTTCTACATGAATTTTGTACATTTTTCTTTTTTATACATTAAAGATGAAATGAGAAATAAATCCTCTGCTCTGGTGTTTTTATGTCGGCGCACATTCAAACTCAAACTTTATTGATCAATTGTCACGCAGCTACGGTGGCCAAGAACGAACCGCCACTGCTGCAAATTTAAAAAAATGCAAAATAAAGAAGTCCCGACGGAAGTTACCAGTGGAGAAAAAAGAAACCGAAGACCTCTGCAAATAAAAACAGAAACAGTGCAAATTAAACAAAAACAACTGAAGTTAATGATGAAAAAAAAAAAACTGGTGATGGAAAAAAAATCAAAAAGTTACTGCGAAAATGAAAGGATGCAAACTTTTTAAAAATGCAAAAAAAAAAAAAAAGTCACGACTGAAGTTACCAAAGAAAAAAAAGAAACCGAAGACCACTGCAAATAAAAAAAGAAAGAGTTTAGATAAAAAAATAAATAATAATAATAATAAAACATCGAAGATAACGAAGCAAAAAAAAAAGAAAAATGGTGATGAAAAAAAAAAGTTTCTCACTGTGAAAATAAAAAGATGCAAATAAAAAAAAGCCATATTGGAAGTGAGCTGCAGGGACCAATAATGATGAAGCGTCGGCGTTTTACGATCTCGGCACAGAAGACGAACAAAGAAGTTCGTAGAAGGTTATTGATTAATTTCACGTTGTGAACTTTCTAACGTGTCGTTTGGAGCATGAAGAGTCCAGATGGAGTTAAACTGGAGGATGTAGAGTTAACTTCAGATTAACTAATCTGTGAATTGGCGCGATATAAAAAGAATTTGATTGACTGATTGAGATGATCAGATGCAGGAGGAGGAGCAGGAGGAGGAGCAGGAGGAGGAGCTAACACTGACAGGAGACCTCCTCAGAGTTCAGCTTTTCTTCTTCTCTGTGTTTTTGTGCAGTTTTTACTGAAGAGAGAGAGAGAGAGAGAGAGAGAGAGAGAGAGAGAGAGAGAGAGAGAGAGCGAGAGAGAGAGAGAGAGAGAGAGATCGTTTCAGGTGAAGGTGCGCACTCAGAGACAGAGGGGCGGAGCTTAGAAACTTCTCAGAGGTCATCAGACGCCTTTACTTCCTTGTAAACCATCTGAGAGGACAGACAGACGGACGAACTGCAGATGTTTACACACACTGAGTGTGTGTGTGTGTGTGTGTGTGTGTGTGTGTGTGTGTGTGTGTGTGTGTGTGTGTGGTGTACATGTGTCACAGCGGGTGGACAGACTCCACCGAGGTCTCATCACATCTGGACAACAACGGCGGATTAAAGACATGAGGTCAAGATCACACACACACACACACACACACACACACACACACACACACACACACACACACACACACACACACACACACACACACACACACACACACACACACACACACACACACACACACACACACACATGCACTAGATGTGTTTACAATGACGCCAACATGAAAACAGTCCAGGACATGTTTTGGCGGTCTGAGGGAGACCTTGAATGACCTGGTCATGTGGTCTCTGTGAGTCTGTGAGGAGAACCTCTGGACCAGGTCTCTGTAACCCCCCCCCCCCTCATTAATGATGTGTTGTTTCCCACCCTCAGACACGGAGCAGGTCTTCACCTCATCTGTCCTTCAGCCTGTTAAAGAGCCTCCTCATGTTCTCAGAGTCCTCATCGAACCTTCAGCAGCAGCAGACTGACGTTCTCACCCTCAGGAGACTCTGATCACTGCACAGACCGTGTCAGGTGAACTCCAGAGATGGGTCCTTCATAGATCTTCTCTCTGAAGGTTCAAGTCCGGAGGATCGATAAGAGGCTGACCAATCAAAAACAGGGAAAGGTGATCGATGAAACGAGCCAATCAGAAGTCAAGGTTCAGATTTCACCCACAGACTGGATCGACTAATAAACACTCTAAGATTTCACCTCACTGAAGAGGAGGGTTAGTGATCTATATTAATTAAGATCTATGATCTTTATGCAAATCAGCAGATTCAACAATTTATGACTAACACACACACACACACACACACACACACACACACACACACACACACACACACACACACACACACTCCAGTCTCTGCTGGTCTGTTACTGAGTCAACAGGGACCAGATATCCTCAGTTAAACTCCTCAGCACAGTCAGCCAATCACAGAGCTCCAGGAGCAAAATCTGGGCTCTGATTGGCTGTAACAGCGGGCTCTTGGTCTCTGCTGCTGAGTGGAGGCAAAACAGAGAGTGACCACACAGCAGGGGGGGGGGGTTAAGCACTGTGTGTGTGTGTGTGTGTGTGTGTGTGTGTGTGTGTGTGTGCGCGCACAGATAAGAGTTTAATTAAAGGGGCAGAGTCGCCTTAAAGGGATGTTCAGTCATTCATCTCTTTTCCTTTTTACCCAGAAAAAGAGCAGCTCTCTCTCTCTTTTTTTCTCTTCTCTCCCCCCAAACACACACACACACACACACACACACACACACACACACACACACACACACACACACACACACACACTCACAGTCCTCTGTCTGTGTGTCTCCCTCTCAGGTGAGTTCTGGTTCCTCTCCTCTGTGTTCGTCTCTCTCAGGTGAACTTAGAATGAACCCAGCGTGTGGACGGACCCGGACCGGACCTGGACCCAGACCAGGACCGGACCTGGACCCAGACCAGGACCTGGACCTGGTCATATTCTTTACTAAAGAAACAGTCCCACGTTTCTGCAGCAGCCAAAAGCCTGACAGGCAGAAATCAGGGAAGAAGCACAGAAACCACCGAGACTCATGGAGTCAAACAGAGAGTCCAGTCTGAGGACTGGGAGTCAAACCAGTGAGAGCTCCTTTAAACTGGTTTATCATCAAACACAACAGACTGTCATGAAGAGTCAGATCAGTCCACCGTCACCCTGAAGTCAAAGATCAATATTTTATATTGACGATTCTGTTTCTGATCCACATTTATCTCAGCACCTGTTTTGGACCGAGCTCGGTACCGGAGCAGAATCAGAACCTCCTCCACAGCCTGTTGTCTGCAGCAGCACCTCCGCGGTGAGACACATCTCTGCAGATCCGGTTTCACAGGTTCGACCAGCGGACACTCCCAGGGGCTGATGTCAGACGCCGCTGCCGCCGCCGCCGCCGCCCCCCCAGACAACTCTCATGTCGTGGTTTTACCTTATTGGGAGGGAGAGGAGAGTTAGGATTTGAATGCTGCTCCACCCGGTAACATGAGCCCGTCAGAGGGACGCAGCACCACCATGTTTGGGTGGATGAGTCCTGCCTCAAAAACAGTCCCAGACCAGACGGATCAGAGCGAGAGTTTCCAGCTGAGCTGAAGTGAAGGAGCGCTGCGTTACAGAGAGACGAACCCGTTTATGGAGCAGTGGCCCCGTTTATAATAATAATAATGCATCAGATTTCATGTAGCGCTTTATCAGAGACCCTCAAAGATCTTTACATTGGATACATCATTCATTCGCTCACACAGTCACACTTTGGTGGTGGTGGAGACGTGGCTGCCATTCTGCGCCTACGGCCTCTCCGACCACCACCACACAACACCCACAATCATACACCAGTGGAGGACACACACTGGGAGCAAGGTGGGTTAAGTGTCTTGCCCAAGGACACAACGGACAGACTTGGATTAGGGGGGAATCGAACCGCCAACCTTCCAGTTATTGGACGACCGCTCTACCTCCTGAGCTACTGCCGCGCCGAGCAGTTCTCCTCAATCTGATTGAAATCAATCGGATTAAGTGAATCTGATTCCATCTGTATACGTGACCTTGAAGTAAAGAGGTCCACGGTTGTTCTTTTTACTCCTCCACCTTTTCATGTTCTTGTTTGAACAACAACTCCGTGTTTCGTGACTTTCTACCATCTAACCTCTCAACAATGTTCAACCCTCGCAGAGTTTGTTCGCCATGTTTGTTTTGTCATGTTTGCGCTCTGCGTACGTCACTACGTGGCTCTTATGAACTACAGAGCGCCTGCGCAGACCGAATAGTCCTCTCTGTAAACCCGACCCGCTTCACTCAGCCGTATATCTGGAGCGGATTATCAATAAACTTCCTCTTACGATCCGACCTGAAATACGATCAGATCCGGTGAATCAGATTCAGGTGTTTATATGAGACACTTTGAATCTGATTGTAAATAAGATTTTTGGACCCGTGTAAACGGGGCTAATCTGGACAAAGAAACTAAAGAAACTAAATTAAATTTGATCTTTAGAAAAGAGTCAAAGTCAGTTTGTGGAGTAAAAACAGAAACATGTTCATCTGAGTCTGAGTCTGTTTGTTTAGAAAATAAGAATAAAAACTCATGTTGGTCTGCAGCTCGGGTTTATTTTCATTATTCTGAGTTTAGTTAATATCTTTTCTCAGTTTTCTTCTTTCTGCTCCGTTTCATTCTCATGTTTGAGGTTTTTCTGTTTTAAATATGAACTGATGAAATAAAGTCTGAAAATGAAACTCAAATATTCCCTCAGTGTCCTCCAGAATCTGTGAGACCTTCAGGCTGAACTTCACGACCAGTGAGAGACTGACTCATTTCTTTATTATCTCCATTATTTAAAAACCCAAACGGAGAAGAACCGACTTCATAACTGAG